AAATGTCACGTGTTCCAAGCTCACAAATTTCCAGCCTCTGGAAGTCCGGGTGCTGACCAACTTGGGGCCTGGCCACTCTCCACATCTTAGCAGAAAGTAGGAAATGGCACACAGATGATATCAGTATCATCCAACCCTATTGAACAAATACATGGCACACTGCAGCCCTGCCTTGGACCACCCCTAGCTGCTCCTAGACAGGACTGCAGTGTGGCACATCCATGTTCAATAAAGTTAGATGATACTAGAGTCATTGGCGTGCCTCTGTGTGCTTTTCTCATAAGCTAATACAGGTTTCTTTGGTGGGTCTTTCTTTTTCCTTTTAACTGCTTTGCAAACTAAATTTTGTTATCTGTAATTTGTCTTATGAGATTAGACTTATCCAATGTCAGAATTTGTTTAAGACCAGAACTTTTAGGCCAATCATAGGCATTAGCTTTCAGGTTAATGTAATCTAATATCCAAAAGTTATTTGAAACTCCTGGTTTTTAAACATTTACTCTCATATGTTGTAAGCAAAACTGCTTATGTACACTGCTAGCATCTGAGACGTGGTACAATAATATTCTGCAACAAAACTGTAGTGCCAGTTTTTTGGCATGCCATTTTTTGAACAAATAATTTTAAATGTGCCAGCGACTGAAAACTTTGGATTTATTGATTAGATAAAAGGTTGAGTTCAGGTTTAAGGGATTAGGCTTAGTAAAATTAACCATTTCCTTTGCTCATGCAGGGCAAAGTAAAAGGGACACTAAACTTTCCCCCACCTCAATATAGTATATACTCAACTTATCTCACTCTCTCACTACTCTATTTGGCTGCTGGATCAGGGAAAGAAAGCTACAAACTGACTTGATGGAACTTACACAGTGCTACAGACTCCATCTCTGCCCCCATTTGACAGTGCTGGGCCAATCACAAGGCACCAGAGGTGTCACAAGCGAAAGAGGGGTTGAGTTATTGGTTTACTCAACAGTAGTAGAGCAAAGGAAAGCTGACTACATGCTGCTGGGGAGATGATTCATTTAGTGAGCATTTTACTTTGCCTTGCATTGGCAAAGGTAAGGGTCCCTTTAAGGATTGCGTTTAGAAGAGAGTTCAGGTTAATGGTTACATTTAGGAATTAGATCTCTAGGAGCATTCAGGTTAATATTATTATTATTATGCAGGATTTTTATAGTGTCAAGAGTTTGCAAAACACTTTACAATATAAAGGGAGACAGTACAATACAATGTAAGACAAGATAGTTTGGAGGGCCCTGCTAGTGCAAGCTTACAAAGCTAGTGCAAGCTTACAATTTAAAAGGGAGGGTCAAATGGTGGTAGCTGTGTGGGGATGGGTTGTTTGAAAAAGTAACGTTCAGTTGCTACGGTAGGTAGAGGCAGAATAGGCATCCTTGAAAAGATGAGTTTGAGTCACCTAAAAGCAAACAGAGTAGAAGATACCCAGACAGGTTGGGCTACGGAGTTGCAGAAGCAGACAGAGGCTCTGGAGAATTCCTGGAGGCAAGCATGGGATGAGGTGGCAAAAGAGCTATAGATCCTGCTCTTGGGACGAGCGGAGAGAGGACAGTTTGGGTGAAATTTTGAGACAAGGTTGGTGATGTAACTGAGAGGAATTGTGGATGGCTTTGTAAGTGGTTGTTAATATTTTAAATGTTATTCTTTGGGCAATTGGAACCAGTGGAGGGACTGGCAGAGAGTGTTTGCAGACACTGAGCGGTTGGTTATGGTGGATGAGTATGGCAGCAGTATTCAAGATAGACTAAAGCGGGGATAGCCAATGAGACGTGAGCTGTAATAGTTGAGACAAGAGGTAACAAGTGAGTGGCCTAGTAGCTTTGTGGTTTTCATTAGCTAAAAAGGAGCATATTATGAAGTTGTTATAATGGTTAAGGTGACAAGATTTATACAGTAGTTGGAGGTTATGGATTAGGTTTATAGGCCAGGCTGGACTTTAAAGTTAGATTAAGGAATTTGATTAAAGTTAAAAGTTAGATTTAGTGGTTTGGCTGAGGTTAGGGTTAAGTATAGAGTAAGAGTTAGGTTTAGAGGTTATGTTAAAATTTAGTCAGTTATATTTGGGTGTAAAAAAAAAAAAGAATATTTTGCAGGGGAAAGGGGGGTAATTGTATAACACATGCAACAAAATCCATGCATTCCGAAATTTATAAGCCAAACTTTCAGGAACTAATGTTATGTTACAAAAATAACCACACTTATATCAGCGTTAGGTTAGGGCTAACTTGTTTACTCGTATTAGGTTATATGGAGTAATATGGACTCATTTGTTGGCACCAAAACTAGCAAACCTTCCAAAGAAGAGAACAATGTTATCAGTGCCTCTCCCTCCAGCCAAGGAACATACGGTAGTTATCATCTGAAAAACGAAATCCACATGATAGCCTTTTCCCCACAATGGAGTTACTGGTACCATGCAAACATTCCAATGGTTGTTCAACCCTATCAAATTTGTATGCCCTGACAATTTAAACCAGAGATCTGAAAAGAGAGAGAGTGTACATTCTAATGGAAAACAACATAAAACATTATAATATATCTAAGGATTAGGGATGCAGCAATACCATTTTTTCCAGGCTGAGTACAAGAATCGATACTTTTCCTCATGTACTTGCAGATGCCAATTACAGATACCTTTTTTATTTGAGTGTCATGTGACAGTTTTCACAGCCTGGCTGCGGTGCCATTGACTTCAATGCACCGCCACGCCCCCTCCCGCCCCTGAATGCAGGTGTTTTTTCGTTGGTACATCTCAATGAGCTCGTCATTTGAAAAGTAGATCTCCAGACGAAAAATAGTGGGCGCCCCTGGTCTATGGTGTACTCTGCAGAGTCTATGGTGGGCTCTGCGGGGTATATGGTGGGCTGTGCAGGCTTTCAGGTAGCTGTGCGAGGTCTATAGTGGGCTGTGCAGGCTCTCAGGTGGCTGTGTGGGGTCTGTAGTGGGCTGTGCAGGGTCTATTGTGGGCTTTGTGGGGTCTATGGTGGGCTGTGTAGGCTCTCAGGTGGCTGTGTGGGGTCTATAGAGGGCTGTGCAGGGTCTATGGTGGGCTTTGCAGGCTCTCGGGTGGCTGTGCTGGGTCTACAGTGGGTTCTGCGGAGTTTATGGTGGGCTGTGTGGGATCTCAGGTGGCTGTGCAGGGTCCATGGCGGGCTGTGTGTGGTCTATGGCTGGCTGTACGGGGTCTATGGTCGGCTGTACGGGGTCTATGGTGGGCTGTGCAGACTCTCAGGTGGGCTGTGCAGGGTCTATGGTGGGCTGTGTGGGGTATCAGGTGGGCCTTACAGGGTCTATGCTGGGCTGTTTCTATGCTAGGCTGTGTGGTGTCTGTGCTTGCTTGTGCGGGGTCTATGCTGGGTTGTGTGGTGTCTGTGATGGCTTGTGCAGGGTCTATAGTGGGCTGTGCGCTGGCTATATTGGGCTGTGCGGTGTCTATGCTGGGCTGTGCGGGCTCTAACCAGGGATCCCAGTCGGTCTCGCGGGCGGCAGGATGGAGGCGGAGGAGATTTTCGCACAGAGCTGTAAAAAGGCAACGCTGTTCGCAGGAAGGCTGCGAAGGCAAGTTTACAGCGCCAGTTTCAGTAACGGGGCATTTTCAGAAGTATGAGTACTAGTGAAAATGCCCAGTATTGGCACCAATACCGATATCCCTACTAAAGATAATATAAACCACAGTACTAAGTTCAGTGACCATATAAAATCCCACTGATTTCTTTACAGAGCTATATGGTCACTGTTTACATCAACATATTTTATTTTCTAGTGTGACTTATAATGCACTAGCTTCAATGAAATCCAAGGATATTTTCCAAGCTTTCACATTTATTTTAATACAATGCCTTTCTCACATGATTCTAACTGGAAAATGTTTATAGGTAATGCACACTGATAAACAATAGCACAGATCTTGTTAAGGGAATCATTTCTGATGTATAGAGAACTTTGCATTCTTGCAATACAAGTTACTTTCATTTGCTTTCGCTAGTCTGCATAATCTTTCAAACCCAAGTAAACATAAAAAAGTTTATAAAAATGATATAATATACATATTTTCTTGTCATGAAAAATATTTGCAATACATAGTGGATTTAAAAAAGGCACAAAATAAAAAAAAAAACAATTTCACACACCAGAATAAATAAATTTTCATTCACAATCATAATGTTTTAGGTGTTGTAGATTACATGCATCAGTCTCCGTGTATCCTGCACCCTGAGTTGTTAATATTTTAAGATTGTTGACTCCTGAAGGCACATCATCAGTTTTATTTAGGCTTTCTAAAAAAAATAATAATAAATGTCATTAGGTGAACCAATGTTGGTAAATCATCTGCACACAGCAGGTCATTTATAAAATATGAGCTTTGAACTGTATACAGTGGATCAATGATAAAATATGAGCAGCAGCTTAACTACAAATACACAACATTTACAGATAATTTTATTTACATCTCAAAAAATATGCTGCGTATCAAATGGTCTTGTTATCAAACTGTGCAAGTCTGCCAAATTGTACCCATGATGTTTATTTAGCATTGCTAGTGGTATTAAACACAAGTCTTCAGAGTAAAAATTGCTATGGATATCTGATATCTGAACAATTTTTAAAGAAGGGATAGTCAAGTCTGTATAGACAAGCAGGGTCATTCACTACTCATGTCCTGATGCAGAAGCGCACATGTCCTAATTACATTTCTATGGCCATGTCATACTTTTGTGGGTGGGTCATACACTTCAGGGTAGACTTATTTGTAAAGACATTTGTTATCTGTGCATCATCTGTAGACTGTTATATATACAACTACAGCAGCTTACATTTCCTTATTTGACTTTGTTGTCACATTCGATTTGCTTTCATGCAAGCTGCTACTTCTTTTCTTGTATAACCTAAAGTGTGTCTATAGCCAAAACAGGAGAAATGGACATTGGATTGAAGTGTCTACAGAAGTGGAAAAGCACATGTATCTTTGACTTACTTTATTAGAATATCTTTCCTTCTGAACTACCATTCAGTGACTTCTTCCTTGATGACCTTTCAAGGATACGATCCGCTTCACTGTTAGAAATATCCTAAAAGCATATGTGACACAACTTTATATGATTATTTTATATTTACTATAATAGTGTGTGTGTGTGTGTGTGTGTGTGTGTGTGTGTAAACATACAAAACATTATACAGTGTACTGTATAAGCATCTTTCTTCACTTTTAATTTAGGATGCTTTTATAAATAAGGCCTATACTATTTTATGAAAGAACTGTCCACGTTGCCAAAAGCACTCAGCATGTCAGATTTTTTTTTCAGTTGCTATTGTCACCATATTATAAACTCCCACTTGTTTCAATCCATCAATTAGCGTTTAAATCAGTGTTGGGCAACTCCGGCCCTCAGGGCCTGTTCACATGATATCAGGCCCTGATCAGGTGCGGATCTGCAGACTGATGTATTGCGTTTTTGCCACGTTTTGGCCGCATTTTTGATGCGTTCCAGTAAAAAAAAAAATTTTTTTTTTTTTTTTTTTTGCTGGAGTGGGGCTGTTAGTATGTTAGCTGCAGTGCAGTGCGTTTTTGATGCGTTTTTGATGCGTTTGCGTTTCCTGACCGTTTCCGGACCTGACAAAATGTGACATGCAGTATTTTTTCTGTCGTAAGCTGAACGGACTGCGCACGTGAGAACTGGAGCCCATAAAACACATAGGGATACATTGGGATGCATTTTGAGTGCAGCAGCGTACGGAGCCGGTCAGCACACAAAACGGACGTCGTGTGAACAGGCCCTCAGGCTGTGCTTTAACTACAAATTCCAACATGCCTCTGTCTCTGGGAGTCATGCCTGTAACTGTGCCAGAGTTGCCCACCCCTGATTTAAATTATCCCTTTAAGTAAGTGAACCCTTAGGGCCTGTTCACATGAGATCAGGTCATGATCAGGTCCTGATCAGGTGCTGATCAGCAGACGTGGAGCTGCTGATGCAGTGCGTTTTTGACGCGTTTTTGATGCGTTTTCGGTCCGGATGCTGACAGTTAATTTTTTGTCAACGTTGATGACATCATAATAAGTGGAGCAAGAATTTATTTTTTTCTTTTTTTCCCCCTTAGCTGCATTGAGTTGCGTTTCCGTTCCGTTTTCATTGCGTTTCGTGCGCGTTCGTGTGTTTCCGGACCGGACAAAATGTGACATGCAGTATTTTTTCTGTCGTAAGCTGAACATATGGAAAAACCTTTTTTGGGGGGTTTTGTTGGAGTAGGGACTGAATACGTTTTTTTCTCCCTGTGTCCTATTGGGGAGATTTACCTTCACTTCCTGTCCTAGACACACAGCAGGAAGAGTAGATCTCTCCAAGGTGAACGGATATCCCCTCTTGGACAATGGTCACCAGAACAGGTTTAACCATTCGAAGATTTTCCCTCACCTCACCTGGTCACAAAGAATAATGCTAAAGCTTTACCCAAACAGATTGGCCCAGAGCTCGGGTAAACCAAAGGATACAGAGAGCTGATACCAAAGAGAAGTATTCACTTGCTTTGGGCTTTTCCACATTTTGTTGTGTGACAAGTTGGAAATAACGTATTTGCCGGCGTATAAGGCGATTGGGCGTATAAGACGACCCCCTAATTTTTCAGTTAAAACATAGGTTTTGGGCTATACTCGTTGTATAAGACTACCCCCTTCCGAGGCAACACCATTTAAAAACATCAACATGGGCCATTTTGTTTAAATACACCCACTAATCTGTCAGCCCCCTGGATGTGCGGTAATACCCGAGTCATATATTGTGCAGTGATTACTTCAGCTAGAATCCTCTGCAATGCTACACACTGAACCCTCATAGACTTGTATGTGGCCACCCCAGGAAGGAGCTTCACAATTTAACTTGTTTGTCCCGCTGGATGTGCGGTAATACTGTATGTACGGTAGCTTCGGCTACAGTGTACCGCGCTGAGCCAATCACGGAAAGCGATGTACGCAGTATACTGTATGTAGCTTTGGCTACATACAGTATACCGCTCTGAGCCAATCACGGCGAGCGATGTATTATATTAATGAATACAAAGCCTGCTCGGATTGGCAGAGGTTGTGTACATCGCGGTATACTGTATGTAGCCGAAGCTACCGTTCATACAGTATTACCACACATGCAGCGGGCAGATTAGGGACGTTTTGTATACTCGGCATATAAGACGACACCCGATTTTCGGGGGATGTTTTTAAGTATAAAAAATTGTCTTACACGCCGGCAAATACGGTAATTAGGAATTTAGGTCACTGGAAATAATTACAGTAGCTAAAATCTCCATTGATTTTCAAATTATTTGCCAATGCCAAATGAAAAGTCTGCATTTCAAGTATGCAACTACTTCTTGCGTAACCTTTCTGGTGCAACCAACAGCTCTTGCATGTCATAGAATTGGTTGAATGGATATCACCTGTGTGCAAGTAAAGTGTGACATGATCTTAACCACTTCCCGGCCGGCCGTTGTAAAAAAACGTCCGCCGGGAACTTCCTAAAATACACCTGTTTCTGAAAGGTCTTGTGACTGTTAGAGAACATATATACAAAAGAAATCAAAACAAGTCTAAGGTAAAGGTCTATAAAACCATCAATCATGGTCATGAAAAAAAAATGATCCCAAGCTTTCAGTATCCTTCAGAGCACCAATAAATCCATTATTAATAAAATGGAAAGAATATGGCATAGCTGTACCTGCAGAAGGCTGTGGTAGCATCATATTATAGGATCCTTTCCATTCAAAGGAAACAAACACAAGAGCACCACGAGCTAGCGCAATAAACTCAAGGTATGGTGTAAAATAGGTAAATAGGTGTAAAATAGGTAAATAGGGATGATTTCACACCATACCTTGAGTTATTTTGCAGGACACCTCCAACTGCCAATTCAGAGCTGCAGACCATCTGCCATGTCAGATGCCCCACTACACCTGAGAGCGCTGTACATCCTCTATTGTTCTTTTTCCATTTAAAGGGACTGGGAAACTGGTCAGGATGGAAAGCAAGTTAAAGGGAGCCTAATAAAGGGCAACTGTAAAGGAAAGCCTAGTTTAGTCTATAAGACACTTGAGACTGGAAATTGACCTGCAAGTGGGACAATAACCTTTAATACACTTCCCAAGCTACAATGGTATGGTATAATACCAACAAATAGAATTGTCCAGTCAAAGCCCAGACCTCAATCCAGTTGGAATTGGATGTAAAAACACATGTTTATCAACAGCCTCCATCCAACTTAACAGAACTTTTCTGCCAAGAAGATGGAGTAAAAATGCAGAATCCAGATGTGAACTTTACTCAGCCAAAGGTGGAAATTAATACGTAGCCAACTATGAAACATCTGCACTCTTCGTTGTGTTTGATTAACTTTGGTGTCACAATAAAATGAACTGTGAACGTGTTGGTGTGTTGTGTATATAAAACTGTAAATGTCACCACTAAATCTACTTTAATTTGAGGTTGTAACAGTGGAAAATGTGTAAAAAATGGTAATAATTTAGTGGTTGACTTTACTTACTAAAGATAGCAGCTGCCTGGCACGGTGAGTGGATAACAGATTACGCACTCGGTTGTGTATAGCCTCCCAGGTGTTATTGTCAGATCGGCATCTGAAATAGAAAACATTCAAAAATGACATCTCAGAAATTCCAGCTAAAACAGTGAAAAGCTGGGTACATGTGGCTGTTCAGGGGGCAGCAATGGATTAGGAGAAATAGTGATGATTCAGTAACTTTTTTTCCCTACAGGACCGCTATGTTGTTGACTTACAGTATTTCCTTTCCCATAATACTGGGGTGCAAAATTCATGCAGTGTGTGGCCCTGTTGTCACCTCTGCATGTAGGAAAAGTCGACTTTTAAATAGTTGAAGGAGCCAGTCCGAAAAGTTTCAGTTGAACAGTAACTGCAGCCAATCAGCTGAAGACTGTTAAGGTATTTCAACAGCAGCACACTGACCACTGCCACAATACAACAGCACCGCAGGTTGGGCAAATATTCATTGCCCAACAAAGTATTTCTTTAAATTTCTTCCCAAGCACAGTCGTTAGCTTTAGTCAGCGTAGGGAACAGTCACAACCTCTATTTCACCAGTAAATAATAGAACATAGCTTAGATTTTTCCTGAATAAATCTAAGTCTGACGCATTACCTATATGAAGTGAGATACCTTATAAGATGATGGAGCAGTAAAAGTATTTCTAAGGCCAAAACTTTTTTGGGGGATAAAGAATGGATAAAACTCTTGTTTGTCCTTTGTGTCCCATTGTGGAGATTTTCCTTAAAGAACAAGTATACTTTTCCCAAAATCCTGATAAATCTACTCACAGGGCATTTCTCTTTAACATTACAATTACATTTGATTGAAAATATTCAGCTGTTTCTTCAGACTCCTATCCCAGCTGAATGATAATAAAGTATTTACTAACACAGCTCCTGTCTAGTTTTGTCTCTGACAGCCAGCAGTGGGAACATGGCGCTTGATAGGAGGAGATCTGAACATCAAGTTAAACCACAGTAACATACAAACATGTTAACAGTATTATCATGTACCTTTCCCTAAGGCTTCCCTTTAGAACTGGACTTGTCCTTAAATCCTGCAATGAACATGTGCTTGAACTGAGAGAATCACTCAGAGTGCCTTTATCTACAGATGAGTTAGCTTTTCTTGGCATGTGCAGGTCATCTAAATCCAGATGGTCCTGTGTAAAATAATGTGTGGTTTAAATGAATACACTAACACAAAGCACGGTGTCAAATATTTTATGTTACACATGTTGTAGCATTTTATACATTATTAACTTCTATCACTACTTCTATAATAAGGCTAAATTGTTTTCCTAGTTCCTCTTATCCCCTTTTACATTTATATTTAGTAAGAGGTTCTTAAAGTGACACTAAACTCAGGAGTTAAACCTAATTGTGCATTCAAGTACCTTAACTATTTAAAAAAATGTATCTAATTTGTGTATCACTCGGCCGTGGATCCTCAAATCCTCTATGAAATTAATGCCGACACTGTCCTTCCTTCTGGAGGGTGGTTACTTTTGTTCCTCATGGTTCCTTCTTTGCATGTTGTAAAGCAGCCACCACTCCAGCTTCACTCCTGTGATGGGCTACAATCCCAATACAAATAAGTAAACTAAACATGAGGTTGCAGTCCATCACAGGAGTGAGCTTCGAGTGGTGGCTGCTTTACAACATACACAGAGGGTGTGTTGTTCCTCCAAGAAGTTGAGTGCAGAAGGATTTTGGATAAAGAATTGTTAGATAAACTGATACCGGATTTACCCATTATACCTATTTTTCATCATCTCCCTAAGGTGCACAAACGGGATGCACCGTTGAGGGGCAGACCTATAGTGGCTAGTATGAACCCCTAAGTGATGTGGTGGATGCCCTCCTCCAGCCCCTCGTGAGAAATCTACCTAGTTAATTGCGTGACACTAAGCATGTCATTCAACGCATGGAGGGTCTAAACTGGAGCATTAACTACAGATGGTTTGTATGTGATGTTGCCTCACTTTATTCTTCTATACCACACAATTTAGGAATGAAGCCAATAGAATGTTATTTGGATCATAACACAGATTAAAGAATTTTGTAGTAGAAGCCATCTTTCTTCTGTTAACACATAATTGTTTTATGTTTAACCATAAGTTCTACCTCCAGAGATGTGGCGCTATGATGGGAGCAAGGTTCGCCCCCCACATACAGCAACCTGTTCATTAGTTGGTGGGAGGAGCAATGGGAGTCAACAGAGATGGAAATCGGTCAAAGTATTAGGTTGAACTATACAGAAAACCTACAACAAAAAATTATCTCTTAAGAGCCGATAGTTGCCACCAGGTGGCAGTGAAAAGAGCAATAGGGACAATAGATTTAGGAACAATAGGGACAATAAAGGGACAATGCATTTGTCTCCAACAGAATTGTTCCAAAAAAGAAGCCTTTGAGAGAGAATCCCTTGAACTACAGAATAGGATTTTACAAAGTGGGTGCTCCCGTTCCTTGATTGGAAGGACATATGATGAGGTGAAAAGAATTGACAGATTAGAACTTTCAAAACATTCCAACAACATGAGGAAACAAGTAAGGTCGAAAAAAGAGAGAACACCCATTTTCTCCACTCAATATAGTTGCCAGTATTAGGACATTAAAAAAATTATGAAAAGATACTTATCCAATTTGCATAGAGATGATGATATGAGGAGCATTTTACAGGGAGGAATTCAATGTGTTGCTAGACGAGCATGGACCCTGGGCAACATTCTGTCACCTAGCTTAATAAAACCTCATAATAGGGATGGATGCAACTTGCTATGCACAACGGGTATGTACAAATGTAATGCTTCCAGCTGTTCAAGCTGAGATCTGCTAGGTGATCATCATACAATAATATCCTACATCACTAGCACATCATATCACATTAAACGATTGGTCAATTGTCAAACTACTTGATCTCCTGTTTGGTTTGCCGCAAACAGTATGTAGACAAAATTACAAGATTATGTGACCACGCTAGGGATCACTAGTCCACTATTAGGACTATGAAAAGTACTAATGTTGCAAAGCACTTTTGTGAGACACATAATGGTAACATTGATTCTATGAGGATTCAGGATTATTGAAACAGTACATCCAGAGGGGGAGATAGGTTTTCCCTATTGTCTAAACCTGAAGTGTTTTGGATTTTTAAATTGAAGACTTGCGTACTTGATGGTATGAACTATGAATGGGGTGTTACATATTTTATTGAATAGTGATTACCCATCAGGTGTAGTTCTTGATCTCTAGAGGGTCTGTATATTAGTAACCATGTGTGCTCGTCCAAAACTTACTTGCTTGTATTTTTGGATTTTATTATATCTGGCTTATTTTATAGTTGTGGATCTTTTTGCTAACTTATACTTTTCAATTTTAAATGGTTCTGTTTAATAACACTTGGTTTTTAATTTGTCCTCCTCCCCTTTTAGTCTCTTTTCCATCCTTCCTTCTCCCATACTAACCCCCCCTTTTACCCATGCCCCCCCCCCTTTTGGTAGAGAAGGGGTAACAAGAGACAGGGAGAGGAGGCTATTCATCAGTTACATATGTGACTAGGGGAAATTAAACTATTTAAATGTTGTCTTTGTGATCTCTCTTCATCTCTATGAATCGGCTGTTTGTAAACCATGTTAGGGTTGGAGGAGCCTGTGTGTTTACAGCATGTTTTGATTCGGGAATAAACAGTATCCAGCTTGTGATACCAGTCGTTGTGCAGCAATTGTTTCTGTAAGAACCATACACAGAGGGTAGCCACCCTCCAGAAGCAAAGACAGTGTCAGCACTAATTCAGAAATTATTTGAGGATCTACAGCCGAGGGGGCAGACTGCACCTAAATGGGAAGGAAACAGCTCTGTTGGGGGAGAAAATGGTGAGAAGGTTGGAGAAGTTTTTTAAATTAGGATATGACGGGGAGGGGTCGTACATGAATACTCTATATAGTGAGAAGGGGTTGAAGGAGGCACTGGAAATGTAGATGGGTGGAACAGAGCTGGGAAGGGGGGCTCAAACCAGATGGCAAGGAGACTGCATTATCTCTGTCCAATACAGACAGTGTTTCAGAATAAAATTACAAATCAAGAATTACCAATAGTAATTCTTGATTTGTTAATTTTGTTAATATTAAATCTTAACACAAAATTAAAATGTACTATATGTTCACAAGTGCTAGACATCTGGCAAACAAAATGGCAGAGCTGGAACTTTTGTTACTTGAGGAACATTTTGACTTGGTGGGGCTTTCAGAAACCTGGTTAGACAGCTCATATGACTGGGCTGTTAATATCCAGGGGTACATCCTGAATCGGAGGAACAGGATTAATAGAAAAGTTAGAGGGGTATGTCTGTAATTTAGGAGCAATTTGAAAGTGAGTATGAGAGATGATATTACTAATGAGAGTTGTGATGAAGATTAATGATGGCTGGAGCTTCATATGAAGCTTCATATGCTAGAGCATCAAATGCTAAAGTACCGTAATTGTGGTATTCTGTTATAGGCCCTCTACTATATACCTAAAATATGAGGAAGAGATTCACAGTCTGAAATGGCTGGGAAACAGGGCAATGCTCTTATTATGGCAGATTTCATTTACCGTGGTATTGATTGGGCTAATGGAACTGCACGATCAACATATGCTTGTCTTTTCTCAAACTTTTTACAGTACGATTCCATAGGTCAGATGGTGAAAGCTCCGACTATAAAACATGCTCTGTTGGATCTATTAATTTCATATAACACAGAGCTCATAACAGATGTGCAAATTAGAGACAATTTGTGTAATAGTGATCATAATGTAATTACATTTGCCTTAAGTTACAGGGAAGAGAGTGATGTTGACATGAAAAGGATACTAACTTTTTAAAAAGGCTAACTTCAAGTTGTTTAGCTGAGGTGATAAGTCCACCTATCTATATCCAAAAGGATATTAGTAGGGTACTTTCTCTGCACATAGTATTTGTCACATAATCCTTACCTGTATAAGGGCCTGAGCAAAGATTACCAGTTATTAGATCTTAGGCAGCTCTTAGTTACATCAAATGCAATGCTGCAGAAGCATACCTTTTCTGTAGATGTTGTGCAGTTCAGGTTATCAAAAGTCAATGCTAGGGGAAAAAATAACAAAAATAAAATGATTTGAAATGTATTTTGTGCTAGGGCAGTAAAAAAGTCCACAAATGCAACAAAATTAAAACTGGTACCTCTCTGTAAGATTAACTGTAACAGATGCAAGCATTTTAGAAGTTACATGTGCAATTTAGTTACAGATGTATATAAGAAACAAATACAAATGCAGTCCAAACAAAAATAAAAACCAATGTTGCCAGAAGGAAATGTAATGTTTGGTTAGCTCATGCTGCTATTAAAATATGAGAGAAGTCCCTTGATTAAGCAGTATGTAAGTTCTCCCTCAAACAACCATCGCTCATGTTATTTCAACGGAAACAGACTTCACGGAACGGAAATCATTCATACTTCTTGGTGTGGCGACATGCTTTTTTAATTGTGTGGCATACAAAGTAAAAGGACAGCCACTAGAAAAATCACCATATGACTAAAATACTGGTGTGAACTCAATCACCTCTCCTTAATCGATTTTCACTACTTGAATGATGCTTGGCCTTTGGAGACTGCAGTTGCGATGCTGTTTTCTCACCCACAGGTTTGAATGAGTCAACCTGAACAAAAAGATCACTGAAGGATTACTATAAAAGTATACAAAAAAAACACAGCAGTAAATAATAATGACAATAAGAGCAAAAGATCACTCAGTGTGAGTGTGGTATAAAATGTAAGATTTGTTGTTGTGTACAAATGGGAGGTCTGAGTGAGTACTAAATATTGACGGTGTGATTTTCCTCTGAGCGGGAAGATACTGTATAAACTCCACATATGCTTCAGAATGTGTATGCATTTCTTTAGAGGAAGGGGGACGTGCTGTCACAATACCGCATTATCCTCCATTATAATTAGTATTCATAGGTGGGATTGATTTATTAATACTGAGGAGCATATGACTGGATCAGAGAGGACATTATACAGCTTCATGCTTTCCTCCATGATTTGTGTTTCATTGGGTGAAAGGGAAATGATCTCCTCCACCTCCACCTCCCCCTCCATAAAGTAGGGTGTATCCTTGCTCCACCTCCAACCTTCATGATTTTCTAAGGAAGCTGATTCTCCAGAGAGCACAAGTAAGCCTTTCAGGGTCCTTCCTCAAAGGCAACATTGTGACTATGTGAGATCTCAGGAAAAGGCATTTTTCTCCCCTCAGATGATGTGCATGGTCACATGTCCTAGTTACATGTGCCAGAGTTTCAGGAAGTGAATTGAGATACTTTTCTACTTGGATTCTATATGGCACAAATCTGTAAACTCATCATTTACACTGGTCAAACAATGTATGAAGTAGGTTTCTTGAATTACAGTCTATGGCAGGGGTAGCAAAACTCCGGCCCTCCAGCTGTGGTGGAACTACAAATCCCATGAGGCATTGCAAGATTCTTACAGCCACAGACATGACTCCCGAAGAGAGATGCATCATGGGATTTGTAGTTTCACAACAGATGGAGGGCCGGAGGTTTGCTACCCCTGGTCTATGGTAATAAATCTGGTATTATATTTTTCAGGAATCAGTAAAAAAAAATCTACACTCAAGTTCCTGTATCTGCATGCCGATATCTCCCACTCCACCTTTTAGATTTTTGTTTATCTAATATTACAAAAATCTCATTGCTGGCGTACCCAAAACATATAGGGATCCAGTGGCTGACTGAGCCTAGGAGGCTCAGCTTATTATTAAAATATCCCTTTTGACCCTTTAAAGCAGTTGGGTGGCAGTTGAAATGTGTTGAGTAAAAACAGGATACTGGCTTCAGTATGCATTGCATTCAATCCAAGATAACATGAGTACCATGTAATGAAGATAGCATGCAATGATCAGGGACTGTAACATCAGGTTCCTAAGTTTTCAAAAACAGCAACTTGTACTTACAAATCTCTAAAGCCTGTGGTTGCCCCAGAGATTTCAGAGATAAGTAAGGTATGTACACATCTAACAGCATGAATTCTTTCATATGCCAACAGGAAATCAAGATAGCATTCTCTATGTTTTCTGACAGAGATTACACAGAATAGAAACCATTGGAGTTGCTTGTTCACCTTAATGTCAGCATGGTCTTAATTTCAACAGAAATTGTGGCAAAATATTAGATCACCTCTGCCTGTGTCTACTTTCAAAAATGGGGGGAGTTTTTGTTGTGTCTTACTGTCCTGTTATTTTTATATGATATGTTTTAATAACATAAAGCAATGAAAACATTTTTTAACATATAAATAAACACCAAAAAAAAGCTCCATGTATTTTAGGTACAGTGCTGCATGACAGCAATTGTCATTCAAACTGTCACATCACTAAAAAATGTCCTGGAAAGGAAAGGGGGTAACATGCAACAACCATAAAGCACAACAGCACAGTCAATTTTTATCAAAAGGTACACTTATGTTTTAAATACTTACATGTCTTACAATAAATGGCGGTTTTGTATCTGCGTCTGACTTAAATTCATAATTTCCCAGTTTCAAATGAGAAAGGCGTTGTTGACTGTCCTTATTAAGTTCACACATTCGCCGACGGGCGTAAGGTGAAGGAGATCTGGACTTTGATGATCCAGTAGGACTGCTGTAACTTTGTTCTGGGCTGGAGTAACTTTTTGTTGGCATTCTTGATTTTCTTGTAGGAGAATTTGGCAAAGATCTCCGACACTGTATTTTGTTTGACTGGAACAACAAATAGACCCAAAATGTCACATACAAATGTTATCACAGAACCTGTTTTAACTTGCACCAAGTAAAGGATGATTTAGTATGCAGAAATGTTTAACTTACTGAATTTTTTTTCTGGAAATCCTTTGGCTTTTCTTTTATGGTTGTTCTTGTGGAAAACTCGATTTTGGGTGCAATTCCCTTAAAAGGAGAGATTCAGAAAATGACTGTCAGCATTTTTTGTAGATAATAATTTTGGCCATGGCACAACTATTACAATACATTTCACTTAAGTTTCACAACACTAGCCTTGTGTTACTATGTTTATTATAATTATCTTCCTTTATTAACTGTAAATGTAAAAAAAACTGCATAGACAATATATTTAAAAAAAAAAAAAAAAGGATGCACATTATAAAATTCCAAACGCAGTATTAAAGCATGAACAATCTGACATCACTGCAGTGTCATCACAGGCTGTTCATGGAATGGCAAGGCATAGAGAGGGGAGTGGTACAATATCGGAACAGACGTGTCTCCATTGCAGCGGTGAGTACAGCTACCCTGTGCTGTTAGGGAAGACCAAGTGGAGGGTTTTTCTTAACTTTGCAGCCAGCAATATTTTCATCATAGTGAGAGGACATAAAGGGTTGTAAGAGACCACACGTGGCAGAAAATGGATCATGGCCAGAGATGGCCTTTAAGTAATGCAATAATACAAAGAATAAAATGAACATAGCTTTATATATAAAACATGGTTCATTCTGAATGTTTGAATTTTGGTGACATGGTCTGGGCAGGACGTGTTATTTTTAGACTTGCACATAATATATTAAAGATATAATTGAGTGGTATTGGTGGACTGATATCAAAGGGTGTGGAGGTGTTGCAGTGTTTGACTGTGATGGGTACTATGTTTGAGTTAGTTGTAACTCTGATCATAAAGCAGGATTCCCACAATAATGTTTCCTTGTGTTTTTCCTTAAAAATTGTAGTTACAGAAATACAATTCTGAACATTTCTTTGTATTTTAGAACAATGTCCTGTACTTTATTGCTTTCTAAAAGTTCACAATAAAGCCAAACACCACAAGATGAAGTATTATAGGGCATGCATTACCATTTCTGCAGCTGTGTCTTTGGTGCAGTTCTCAGCAAACACATCTTCCATAGGGATACAAGGTAATGCATGTAAAATTCTTCTTTTTAAATGCAAAGGTTAAATGTAGCCAAAGACAGCAAGTAGAACTAAAATGTCTATAAGTCCCTTGTAGCACTACCCTAAAGGATCACCAAGTTCCCTATCTAGAGGTAAGTATGACAAATAAAATATAAATAGCAACTTGCTAATGGTGCTCCCTCTATGGAATACCCCTTTTTTACTTTGCTGTTGTATCAAAATGATGTAAAATACAATGCCAAAAAATAGTTACAATGTAAACGTCCCCTTATTGTATTTCCTTCGCAGTAAAACCCTTTTTTTGTCTGCCTTTTTTTCTTGCTGAGAAGAAAGGGGGTTACTGCAGAGTAATTTAGTATTTGTTAAGCATTTAGTATTTACAGAATACATAGTAATTGTTTTTTGGCATAAGAGTTGAATAGAAGGAATTGTATTACATAATTTTGATGTAATAAAAAAAAGGTATTCCGTGGGGGGAGCGCCAGTAGAAAAAATGGCTATTTTATTTGCCATAGTTACCTCTAGAAAAAATGTGCTTAAATGCAAAGGTGTGCATGTAGTTTAACAGCAGCACAACATTACCACTTTTTATCGATCATAGGATCCAGGGCTGCATGGGACTTAAATGGCAGCTCAATATAGTACACAATACATATTAAATGAAATAGCATAAACACACAAAAATACTGTACTGTATACAAAAAGGGAAGCACGGACGTTTAGGCAGGTCAATGTCATACAAAGGACCAACAGGTCCTAATCTTATCTGGCATACAGTGATTTAATATCTCATTTTATGACCCACCAAACCATAATACTCAGCCATGGCATGACTGAGGTTGAGCAAGCTGGCTGTAAATTAAGCAGGTTGGAAGCACTGCTTGAAACAGAAAAATTACAGCAGTAAATAATATGACATATCTGTCCAGCCAAGGGCAGAAGATCTTCAAAGGAGAAGATCTTAGTTAAAAACATGCTGTAGAAAAGGGAAAAGGAAACCAAGGTAAATGTAGAATGTGTGCAGAGATACAAAGAAACGTACTTTGTGACAGATCTACAAAATATTTTTAGGGATGTAAATCATTGGTTCACATTACTATAACCTATCTAAACCATACCATCTAACTATATAATGTATCTATACCATAACCTATCCAAAGAGACCTGTACTGAAAAACATATGTAGACTGCCTTTGCTGACCTTCTTCTGAAACAGCCAGTTGCCTGGTTCTCTCTGGGTGCGTACCTTCTGAGTCACTGACCTGGGGCAAGCATGCAGCCAGTAAGTTAACATATCTGATCCTCGCACTTCCAGATCATTGACTCAAAAACTTCTGAAACCAGTGAATCAACATGACAGCCAGGCAACTACCATATTCCCAAGGAGTGGTCAGCAATGGCATCCTATATAGCTCTCACAGCACAGGTTTCCCTAAATGAAAACATGCACACAAAATTGGGCAATATGCAGTACCCAGTAAAAATCCATCCTTGATCACCTTCATTGCAGTGAAACAAAAGATTGGTTGCTATGGGTTACTAAACTTTGCATATTGCTTTTTTTTGCCTAAGTGCCTGTCCTAACTTTGTTAGATTCTTTACACACAGGGGCAGTTAATAAACCTTGGCAGAGAGGAATAAGTATCTTTTATTTAATAAAACTCAATCAGATTACAGTTATTTTTCTCTATTCAAGTTTGAAAATGTAAGAGTTACTTCTATCAGTTTCCATTGCCAATACGAGCACATTTTTTTTCCAAGCTTTTATGTGTTAGCCCAAAGATGTTTATCGCGTTATAATACTTTTTTTATTTACATTTCACATTTCATTACATATGCTTTACTTGCAAAAACCAAATGCTTATGAATCTATAGGTTCATTAACATTAAAGTTCTCCCGGCCAAACGTTTCTTAACCCTTGCAGTGGGGCTATGCTTGTATTGCAAGGGTTAACTGCTCGTTTTGGTCAAGTTGCAAAAAAAACAAACTTATACTCACCTGAACCTTACAGCCAGCTGGCTGTTATAGGACTCCCTCCAGCCTCTTCCCCTGCTGCAGTGATGGTATATCCCTCGGCGTCCTCATGCACTGTACACTGTGTATTGGACGGGATGACAAACGGGACCTTAGACCGCTGCATTGGAGGGGGAAAGAGGCTGGACGGACTGGTCTAAGAGCCAGCCAGCTCATAGGATCAGGTAAGTATAACTTTTTTATATTAGCATCTCGACAAAAACAAACACTTAACCATTGCAGTGCAAGCATTAAGAAAATATTTGACAGGAGTTCTTCTTTAATCATTTTATTAATTGCAAGAAACAATGGGGTTGTGTAACTAAGAGCAAACAGGCTGTTCACTTTGCAAGGGAAATATCGCTTAGTATAGTGAATCTGGTGAATATTTATTTTGTAAAGAATACCCAATCACGTGCAAGGAAAATGTAAAGAAAAAACAGAACTTTGCCTGGACATGATTTGATAATGGAAGTCAGCAGAGCTTCTCCTCATTCACTAAGCTAAGGGAACTGCCATATATTTGCCTTCAGTAAATCAGTGTTTGTCCATTGTGTTTGGAAGGGACCGACATGTAATTAAACTTCTAATCTCATATCATTAACAGCTAATTTATTCAGGTAAGGAAATCTGTGCCTTATATGTTCATTTTAATCTAATTGTTTGGCAAGTTCAAATAGTTCAGCAACCAGATGCAGCCCTCTGTTTTCAGCCTTGTATGCCTTAAGTGCAAAGAACTAATATGGCTGATAGGAAAGCGCATAGTAAACCTTTGACTAATGCCAATATAGAGACATGTGCTTTAACAAAATGGACTACCCAGTGTAGCTACTACACCAGACGTGCTTCTCATTCAAAAATGCTAAAATAGACATTTAAAAGTAGCTTTTTATGTTTTGACCTCATAAATGCGGTAGGTTTAAAGATATCTGATTGAAAAAGCATACAAACACCACAGCTACTGGACTAGATCAAGTACACAAAGCCATCTTGATTTGTTATGCAGGTATTATCTTAAGTTCAAAGACCCCAGCAGAACAGTCTGCTGGCCCGGCCAGGAGATGCACAGCCCCAAAATGGCGTCTGAACGACATAGGCACTCTGCTCTCGCAGAGTGCTATAGGCGGCTCAAACCTGACATCATTCTTCATGGCACAAAGCAGGACCTGATTCTTTCAAGAAGGGATCCAAAGGCAATGGCACACCATCTTACACAGACATAGACCACTTTCCTATTATTTATAAAATAAGTCATATCCAATTTATTATTTAAACCCTGAGATATTTTAGTATTCATAGTAAAGAAAAATACACTTTTCTTTTGTTGGGCTAGAAGAACATACCCACTGCTTTTTTAAAAGGCCTTATTTTCTCAATACCTTGAATCTTCAATGAAGGGGTACCAAGAGGTAGACAAATGTCTAGCAATGTTAGTGGGTCTATTTTTACCAATGTCACATAAACGAACCCCTAACCTGTCTTTCATTCTTCTAGTGCCCCACATATTGAATGAACATTGACTAGAAGTAATAACATGGGTATTATATTAATACAATTATCATTGTAAAAATTCACAGTGTAAGACCGATTTAATTTCGTGAAAGTTATCTGTTTACCCTTCAAGACATACTTGCAGCAGGGGCACATGCTCATCACACAAATAGAATTTTCTTCAACCCTTAACTAAGTTTCTGTAGTTTCTCTGCTTGTTCAGAAAAACTTGGAGATAAGTATTTTCCTAAAGTAGGTATTTTTCTTGAAAATACCTTCACTCAATTTATTTATTTACCCTTGTGAATATACCCTGTCACTGTGCAGTACTGGCAAATGCCTTAATACAATATTGCTGACTTCAAAGAATAAGAGACTGCATTCTATAGAGAACAGCACCTTATTAACCATTTCATTTATTTTCTCTTTTAACAAATCAATTCTATTCTATTCCAGACAAAACTTGTTTGGAATTTCCCCTTTTCAAAAATCTACTGTACAAATCCTTAGCTCACAACTCAAACCTTTTATTTGTTTTTCAATGAGCGAGGCCTCAGTAAGTGGTGTCATACCACTATTCTTGCCGCAGATATAATTTATTTTATGCAATTCATTGGAGAGGTGTTTTGGAGTTATTACTTAGTGTACATGCATTTAAAGGCATAAATACTCACTGGGAAGCCACAGACAGTTTTCATCAGAACCTCCCTGTCCACTCCAGGGTAAGGAGGAGTCAGCTTTGGTTCAGGGAATAGGAAGCCTCGATGGTTCTCCTTGTAAGTGGCAAGAATTTCTTCTCCTATAGTAAAATATAGAATACATGATGCACAGGTAAAGCAAAATAAATAGAAAACCCCATAATGCATATTTATATATATGTACTATAGGAGTAATTACTAGGGATGCACCGAACCGAACATTATTTTTTTTTTCTAACCTTTTCAATTTTAAAAAAAAAAATTGATTTTTTTTATATTTTATTTATTGATTGATTTATTTGTATTAAATATTTTAATTTTTTAACTTTACTGCTGGGGGCTTTGGTAAAATATGGTGGTGACCCCTGATATTTCTCTTTTACAATAGAAAAAGAGATTGAGGACACAGAGTTCTCAATCTCTTTTTCTGCAGCCCCAGCACTGAATGACCAGGAATCCTCTATACTGTACTGAGTGTTCCTGTTCATTTATAACTTGTGGATATAGTATGAGTTACTATTACGCAGTCATGAATGAACAGGAAGTGATGTAGAGTCCAGCTTTAAAGCTAAACTCTAGGCAGATATAAAAGACACACAATAATGCAGCTCTGTTATCATCAATAT